TCGCGCTCGCTCCCCCTCTCTCTCTCTCTCTCTCTCTCTCTCTCTCTCTCTCTCTCTCTCTCTAATTAGGGCACCAGGGCCTTGGTGACTGGCTCCAGATTCCGATGTCATCTTCTATTAATAAAGAACAATTACTGACCTGCCTGTCCTGCCCCGGGACCACGCATCAAAGGAGACCAAGTGCGCACGCTGGGCAGAGCTGCGCGGACCAAGCTCCCGCCAGGGCGCAGCAGGGCGAGCGCGAGGCCGCGACCCTCGGCTGGGGGTTGGCAAAACCCGGGGGCTCCCCTCGCCGAGCCGCGACCTAAGCCCATCCGGGCGGGGCCGTGGCGAGCCGACCAGCCCTTTCCCTTTCGTCCGGAGACCCTGGCGTGAACCACTAGGGACGAGGGCAGCTGCGCCACGCTCCGCGTCCCACTCCATGCGCAACGCAGCCCCGGCGCCTGCCCGGACCGGACCGGAGGGGTCCCCTTCAGGGAAAGCAGCGGAGAACCCCGGAGGGAGCCGAGCGGAGGGCTGGGGGCCGCTCACGCAGCGGCGTCTCCCCTGAAAACTCTGGGCTCAGCACAGGGCCCTCGGTCCCCGCTCGCTCGTCCCGGCAATGTGACCTTCGGCAAATCGTTTCTCCTGCGGGACGCTGTTGAGCACCAACAAAGGCCAGGCGCCCACCGGGAGCTTGGGGACCCGAGGACAAAAGCTAGCAAGATCTGTGCTCTACGGTGTCCTCCCGTGGTCTGGCACCCGACGCTGGGTAACAGAGTAGGGTTGCCACAGCGAGGTCTCCAAGGCCCATTACGACGGAGCAGAGTCCCCAGGCCTGAGTCTCCTGCCCGCTCAGGTGGCAGCCAGGGCCGACCAGGGCTGACCAGGGCGTGGGAAGTCCAAGCCGCGGAGCCGAACCCAGCGCTCCCTACAGTGGGCCCAGGGCTTCTGAACCCCTTTCCCAGGGGCTGCGGCTCACAAGGAGAGCTTCCATCACGCCCAGAGTTGTGGTCCTCAGGCTTCTCACCACCCTCACCTGGGGCTAGAGGGTTCGGGCAGGTTCGCAACGCTAGTGAGAGAGATTGATGGCTGGGTGTGTCCCCAAAGCGAGGAACAGAGTGTGCTCCGTGGCCCGTCGCCTGCAATCTGTTTCTCATTAAAGAGAAGGCTGGTGGCGGACAGGAGAGCAGCCTGTGGCACCAGAGGCCTCCTCCGTGGGCCTGACCTGGAGCTTCTGCCATCTTCCAGGGGTCTGGGTGTCCGGCTGGCTCATGGCACAGAGAACGAGGTGGCTGGGGAAGACCCTGACCCACGAAGGGGTGGGCCGGCTCAGCCTTGGACGCCTCCAGACGCTTCTCACCAGGACCTGGGATTTGGCGTCCCCACACACTTGCCAACTGTTTTCCTGACTCTGGGCTGGTAACCGCAGCCTCTGCCCCTCTAGACAGACTGGGGCTGGGCTCCGAAGGGTTTTATTTTTTCCCCCCCTAGTATTTAGGGAAAAAACCTTCTCCAGGATCATGTAATGCGGCTTCCACACAGGAACTGCCCAGGGCTATTTTGCTCCAACTGGGAGCCAGGAACTAATGGGCTCGTTAACTAATGTGCGGCCAGGACTGGCGCTGCCTGCCAGCGGCCGCTGCAGCGCCCGGTCCGGCATGTTCCTGCCACAACCTCGGCAAAGTCCCCCCTGTCCCTCCCCCCACCCCGCTCTCTCCCCTGCCCCCCACCTTTCCCTTCCTTCTGAGTGAGAGGGACTGGCCACGACAAAAGTAGCCCTCGAGCCAAGCACCTTCTGGCTGCGACCCGATCTGGGAGGGGCAGGAGGGCTCTGGACCCCTCCACCCTCTCGGGGAGCCGAGCGTGGGCTGGGGGGTGGGGGTGGGGCCGGGACCCACCTGAGCTGTAGTTGACGATGTCTACGCCCAGCGCCGGGCTCTTCCGCTTCCGGGGCCGCCCCTTCTGCACCGTGCCGGCCCCGTTGAAGTAAGGCAGGGCCAGGCCGCCGCTCTTGGCCGCCAGCTCCGTGTAGCTCAGCTGCGGTGGGTACTCGCCTTGCAAGAGGGTCTCGAAGTGCGCGCGGCAGTACACCAGGCTGTCCTTCATGCCGAAGTGGTCGCCCGTGGTCAGGGTCTTGTTGCAGGTGGAGCAGGTGAAACAGCTCAGGTGGTAGACAGAGTCTCGGGCGCGCATGACCATTTCGGAGGCGGAGATGCCAAGGTGGCAGCGGGCACATCTCTGCACAGAGAACCTTCTGGAAGGAAACAGTCGCATTAGGGCCCCCCGGCTGCGGCAAAGGCAGGGCCATGTCCCGGCCTCACACGTGGGGCTTGTCAGCAGTGGCCGGCGCCTGAGACCAGAGGGCTCAGAGAGGAGAGGACGGGCCCAGTCGGCCATCGATTTTTTCTGCTTTCAGACTCGCTCTGGGGAACAAGACAAAGACCCCTTCCCTTAAAATCAGAATCGGGTGCCTGATCCTCAGTTCTCCTCTCTGTAAAATGCTGATTTAAAAAAACAAACGACAAAAATCCTGCCTCACAAACTCAAAACGCTCATGAAGAACACGGAATTGCGACCCAACTGAAAACATGTCATCCATTACCAACATTCTGTGAAGGAAACGGGGTGCTGTTTATGGGCGTGTGTGAGGCACGGGGACACACGCAGCCCCTGAAAGGACGGCTTTGCGGAGGAAAGCGTGTTCCTCCCCAGCCACCCCTCGCCGGCTGCGGGCGGAGCTGGGTCACCTGCTCAGTCCCTGCAGGTCCAGAAGCATCGCTGGGAAGAACCAACAAACGCGCCTGCCGGGCGGTTGGAGGCCGGCGGGCAGATAGATGCTCGCCAGCGGGAAGGGGTCCCCAGAGCCGAGGGGCTTGGCTTTGGGCAGCCATTCCTTCTCAAGGCCATGTACATGGTCTCCCGCCAGCCTCGGGAAAACCGAACGCCCGGTGGTGGCTGCTGCCCGGGCCACCAGCTCCGTTCCAAGGCGCGGACCGGGCCCGTTCGCAGGAAACGGAAAAAAAAAAGCCGCTTTCGACTCAGAGAACGGGGTCACGGTCGCCGACTCCTCCCGGGTCTCCCCGGTTCTCTGCATGAACTGCGAGGGGACGCGAGCACCCGGCGTTGCCCCACATCGCCCCAGACCCCGCGGTCCCCCCACCCACCCTCACCGCCCGTCCGGGGCTGCAGCTCGGAGGAGGCGTGCGCAGTGGCCTTCCCGGGTCTCGCGACTGCTAACCGCACCCCGAAGGGGCGAAGGGAGGGGGACCGAGCGGGGTCCCCGGGCTCGGGCAGGTGGCCCTGTCAGGTGTGCCGCGCGTGGGGGACGGGGCGGGAATACCTGTAGTAATCCTCCTTGCAGTAAATGCTGCCGTCCTTGGCGAAGCAGGTGAGCTCGGACTCGAGGGCCAGCTTACATTCACAGCACTTCAGGCACCTCAGGTGCCACTGTTTGTCCACGGCCAGCAGGTAGTACCTGTCGGAGATCTTGCCCCCGCAGCCGGCGCACAGGGCGGGCTTCTCGGGACTGAGCGGCGGCATGGCCTGCAAGGCAAGCGCGCACGCTGAGGCAGCGCGGCCGCACGACGCGGGGGCCCCGGGCTGCGCGAGCCCAGGGCGCCCCCGGAGCCCCGGCCAAGGTCAGGGGCGGGCGAGCCAAGGCCGACGTCCGGGGAAGCGTTCGCAGATCTGCTTTGGCCGCTCGCTCCCTCTCTGCGCCGACTGCTCGAACCCCGCGCTCCTTCCTCCCGGGACGGGTCACCTGAGGACATGCAGCCCCCCTCGGTCTTCTTTGAAAGAGGCCGGGGAGCGCAGGGACTATAGTTTCGTGCGCGTCTCCACACGCGAAGAATCGCGGGCTAAAGAGCGTGGCTTTCCACGCGCACCATGAAAGAGAACGGAAACCGTTACCGGGAAGTGGAAGGGACGTTGGAACGAGCGCCGATGGTTCCAAAGACCCGAGGTGACACTTCTCTGAATCTCTGTCGCTTCGATCAGAGTGGAGAGACGTTTGTACCTGAGCTCCTAGTTCGGTAGGGACATTGTTTCGCTGGCGATGTACTCGGCAGATCTTACCTTCCCTAATTTTCGGGGTACTGGCCCTCTTCCTAGTCACGGGGTAAAGTGCCTGTTCCCAGGGCGGCCGTCGTCGGGCCCCCTGAGCATCCACACACCCTGGAGACTTTTGCCCTGAAAATCTGTTCAGTGCCCAAACTCAGCTTCCCGCCTGCGTCCCCACTCAGGCGACCAGGGATCAGGAGACCTCACCTGGAGGAGAGCAGCCCCTTCGCGAATTCGGGGTGCTGCCTTTTGTTTTTAAACAGGGTGACCACGAAAGGGGGAAAGAAAGAAGCTGAGCTCCGCACATTTCCCTCGAGATCGGCAGAAACGGGTCGGACTTGCCCACGAAACTTTGGCGGGCCTGGAAAACTAGTTTCTCCCTTGACTGCGACCCGGGGCGCGTGCTGGATTCGTGTTTTAAATGTAGAGACGCCCCCGCCCCAGCTCCTTGGTGGCCCCGAGACGCGGCTGATGGGCCCAGAGCGGCCACCGGTTATGTGAGCCACACGACCGGGTGCGGTGCCCAGCTGTCGACCTGGAATCGCTCCCCGAGACTTGCGTGGTTTTTCCCCTCCGGCTCGTCAGTCCGGAGCCCACAGATTATTAACCGGTTTTCTTTACGAAGCGGACGGGCCTCTTATTATTCGGCCCAGCCCAGGCGGCTGCGGCGGCTCAGCTAAGGGCCCCGCGCCTCCGCTTTGACTAGAGGTCCCTGCACAGGACACGCGTCTCCTGGGGCACCAAGCGCAGTCCTGACCGCTGGAGGGGCCACCGGAGACCTCCCCAAGATCGCTGGCTTTGGGGGTGCCGAGCTCTGAGCGTCTGGAGAAGCGGAGGAGGCTCGCTCGTTTCTACTCCGCTCCCAAAGTCCCAGCATCAGACCCGAGGCCAGAGCCACCGGGCTCCCGCTCGGGCCAGACGCCTGGGCCGTGAGCCTCGCCCCGGAGGCGCCCGGGAGCCAAGGGGACCAGAGACCCGACCCCGAGGTCTGCGGAAGAGGACGCCCCCTCCTCTCGCCCCTGGCTCGCCCGCTGCGGCAGAGGGTGGGGAGCGCAGCGCGGAGTCTCAGAACTGGAGACTTTTCGAGGTGGAGAGGGGACCGGTTCCGGGCCCCGCAGACAGGCAGACCGCAGAAAACCCACCCTCCGGTCTGGGGCGGGCGTCCCCACGCCTCGCCGTCCTCCGTGGGCCGCCGGGACCCGGGGCTCGGCTTCCAGGGCGCGCAGGGCGCCGGCACCGCGTGGGGCCCTCCTTACCGCGTCGCGGCCGTTGAGCTGGGCGCCTTTGGCCAGGCGGGCCTCGGTCTTGGATCGGCGCTCCATCTCCTCCATGATGCCCTGGATGTGGCCTCCGGCGATGCCGTGGAAGAGCATGGCTGGGGGGCGGAAAGGACACGCGCTGTCTTCTGCTCGGCACCCCACTATTTCCATACACACGCGCCCCGGGCTCTCAGCTCATCGAGGGAAGGAGACGAGTCCGCGGGGGCCGCGCGGTGGCGGGAGCGCAGAGACGCTCGGGGACACGGGGCGGGAGGGAGGGCGCGAGACGGAGCGGAAAGAGGTCCGCTCGGAAGAGAAAGAAGCAGCAGCAGCGGCAGAAGAAGGGGCGGGGGGAGCCCCAGCGGCTCCCCGAAGGAGATGTGCAGAACACAAACAAATACGGGCGGCGGGGATGCGGACGACGGAGGCGACTCTTGCTGCTCCGAGAGATCGAGTTACTAATGAGAAACAACTGCGGGGGGGCGGGGGCGGGCTGGGGGGACGAGATCTGGTGCGCAAAGAAAATAGTTTTGAACACAAAGAAAGAAAAAGAAGTGCTATTTTCGGCGGTCCCTGGCTGCTTGCAAGTTCCCGGTGCCGGTAGGTTGGGTTGGGGACTGCGCCAGCCCGAGCCGCGTCCAATTTGTTAAGCGCCTAAAGCCAGCCCATTTTTGATAATTTAGTAGGAGGAGTCCGCTCCCAGGAGCTGCCACGGATTTTTATTCAGACAACAAAGACCTGTCATACTCCTCTCAACCCCCTGGTGATGGGCAAGCGGGGACAAACATTACGAAGGAGGGGGGCTGGGGGGAGGCTGTGGCAGGGGGCATTACTTCCCCCCAGCGCGCGCGCGCGCACACGCGCGCACACACGCACACGCACACACACACGCACACGCACACACACACACCCTTCCAAGAGTTCCCAGCAATCCTGTTTTAAAGGAACCTTATTGTCCCTGGCCTGGTGCAGGAGGCAGCCAGCCTGCCGATTTGGTCCAAGTTCAGGATCAGACCCCGCTCAAGGCAAACAGAATGTCGGCTCCAAACTTGGGGCTCTCTCCTTGTGGATTTTCTGGCCCTCAGCTTACGGAGACCCCACATACTGGAGAGAGCGTCTTGTCTTCCACTGCCCCCTCTTTCTCAGCTCGGCTTTTGAAAGCAGGTCACCTCCCTTCCCGGCGAGGGACCCTGACCTTACCCGG